TCCCAGATATTGCTGTATTTAGCAACGAGATCTGGGACAGAATAATAAAATTAGAACATGATATACCATACTGATGCTAAAGCCAAACAGTGATTACTTGTTGTGTCTCAAAACAGATTGTGTGAGATGAGTCCAAGTTGGCTGACTAAAGGAAGATAAAGGACAGAACAAAAATATTTATGCAAGAGTGTAGGTGTGGCATCATTACTGCTGCGACCATCAATGGACCAAATTGACACCAAGTATGTGTGGGGCTAATGGTGATGAGCACAGCCTGACTTTGAAATAGACACTGTAACCAGCTTGCTTGTAGAGAAACAGTCCTGAAAAAGACATTTTAGGAACAGAGAAGTAATTAGAAGAGCAGCTTAACCAGGCTGGTTCTAGCAGCCTTTATAATTGCCTTCAAAAATTGTGGTAGGCATTATCAAATCTACTGACTCCAGCTTGCAGATGGAATTATTCCAGCTGTCTCTTATGCTTAGATGATTCACAGCATTTTAGAACAGATACAGCCCTATTCATCACAGTATCTACCTATAAATGTTGATACTGAGACTGAGGATCAAAATTAGGGGAGAACAGAAATTAGCTCCTTGATTTGAGTCAGCTTCAGCAAAAGTACAGTTTTCACCTCCCTGCTGTACAGTCACTCTGGCCTTATTTATTCAAGTCCCCCGTGAATCTGTAGTTACTTTTGCCTACGTGACATCCAAGTGAATGTTTTGGATGAGTGAGTTCTACATCCTAAAACCCTGTCTTACCACAAAAGCACTTTGGATTCAGATTTGTGCCATACATTAGATGGAAATACTGAACAGCAGAACCACAGTGAGACATTTGCTGGAACTGGATATTATCTGGATGGTTTTGGTCTTCTGAAACACCCCAACCTCCTCCCTGCAGTATTGTAGCCACAGAATAAACAGAAAACCAAAGCTCTGCACCACAAAAGTACTTAAGTGGAAACCCTTCTTTCTGAGCTGAGGCCTGATACACTCATCTCAAGGTAGATTGTTTGCAGTGCTTGCCCTAGAGCCACGGGCAAGGAGAGGTTATTGTCTGGCTGACCGTTTGAGAGGGCCCTGTAACAGGAGAACTCTTTCACAGCCTGTCTCTTCTCTTTCCAGTCTGTGGGAGCACCCAACACCGACAGCTGGCTCTGATAAATTAGCACAATGCCATGCTCTTTTAGTGCTTTGTTTTTCAACCTCTAGTAGGTTGGGGGGGGAGGAGGGAAAAAGGCATCAAAGTATGCTTTAGAAGTATGTCCTGAAGACTAATCATTTAGGACTATTTCAGACCAAGGCTGGAAATTCTGAAGTCCCCTATGGTACATGGCCTGGCAATATTCCCATCTGGTTTAGACCATTGGTATAGTTAGTGCATCAATTCTGCAAATACTCTGCTAATGCTAGCCACTGAATTACATTACTTATCAGATACAAGTGAAGAGTAATAGTCAATATATGAAATTCATAAGGGTGTTTTGCCTTCCTTAGAAATATTTTAGGTGAGGAATTTGTAAACTGAGATAGGTTGAAAACCACTGCATTAGGCCATTCACGCTAAAACACCTCTACTCCTGCAGATATATACAACATAGTTACCTACTACCTCAATCACCAGCCACAGTTGGAAGAAAGAAAAAAAATATCCCCCCAAACAGTGACAAGAATGGTTCATTTGTTCCTCCACAAGAGCTAAAGCTCTAACTACCGAATCTATTATATAGCAAATACCAAAAACAGTCTTCAGAGAAACCTTGCAAGGGTGAACTGTGCTCTACTCAAATTCTTCCTATTCCTTCATCACTGTCTGTGGGTCAGATAAATTACTAGTCCTTTCCTGAATCCCTCCTGGAAAAACAGGAACATACCCCAGAGTTCAGAAGTGACACACACAAATTGTGCTGCCATACAGCAGAATGTTTACAGGATAATAGACATAACATGACAATGAAGAAGTGCTCCAAGATTTCCATCTTGCTTCAGTACACAGATGTTCTTTTGTTGCAGCTTTGAATCCTGAGATAAGCAGATGTTGCAACACTTCAAAATGCTCATCTTCTGAAAAAAGATAACTCAACACACAGCTACATGCCCACTGTTAAGCCTCAAATTTTAAAGACATAAAATCAATGAGCATTGTGTGCCAAATTCCCTTCAGAAATAGCTTATGAGATTCACTCTTCCTACAGCAAAAATATTCCATGCCAGATTAGTTACATTATACACAAAGACTGTTCCTGCAGATACCCCTATGGTACCAAATGGGGCAGATCTCTTGCCTCCTGCTTTCATTTCTCCACAACAGTCTCAATCTCTACTGCACAGGGACAGCTGTAAAAGCCAGACTGGAGGTCCATCTGTCCTGTATCCTCTGCGTACGTGACCATGAGGCACTGGTATGCACTGGTTTAAGGCACAATGGATGCATCAACTGACCCTTCCCCATTATATCCTCCCAGATCCAGCAAAATAGAAAGGAAAAAGACAAAGACACCTGTTTATTACATAGTGGATAACATTTAGGGTTTTTTTTATCTGGCTTAGAAAAGGTAGTTATAGAAAGCCAAAATTGCTCATGCTGAAGAGGCAGTGCTGAATTACTGATTTTTAACACAGTTGGATTTGTTTCTATGAAAATTATCTTCAACTGATGGTGAGCAAAATAAGTCTGTGGCTCTCAGGCCACCTATGCAATCAAAGCCTGCAGCTGCAGAAGATGAAATACAAATATTGGGCTGTTTTCTTTTGACTGGTCTAGCATCTGTAAAAAAGCTTACTAATATTTTAGAACGATTCATTCTAATGGATTTCCCAAGCAAGAGTCCTTATCTGGAAATAGCATACTGCATGAAATCAAAATGGACAAAGTATGTCATTGCTAATCAGATACACAGCAGGACTTGAACTCCTTTCAAAGCAGCCAATTTCATACAGCATCTGCTGGACAGGTGACCTACCTTTGTGATGATCTAGAGCTGTGATGCACCAGTTACAAAGCCTTTGGTGAAAAAAAAGGAATCTTCCATGATTAAAGAAATGCTTTTCTGTTGTTTGCATTTACACGGACACTATTTAAGAGCCTGTCTCCATGGGCAAGTATTTTTATTCTAACATGTTTAGATTTGGCATAGCCCCTAAAACCAACAAATTGTTACCACTAGCCTTCTTGAAATTATCTTTTTTTTCCTCATAAGCAATCTCTTTGCCAACAGAAAAACCTGCAGAAGCTAAAACAAAGCAGGACAAGAAACAGATGTCTCAGGCCTATCACTGAGCACAAGCTCTAGGCAATGCAAATGAATGTGCCATTTCATAAAAAAAGCGTCAGAACAGAGTGAATGCTGCTCTCTGAGATACCATCTTCTCAATTCTTTCCCTCTATCAAGCCCTATATTATTAGTTGTTCAGGCACAATGCAAAGTAGTGAATATAACAGGAATCAGGACTACAAGACAACTCAAACTCAGACATACTTATTTGATTGACAAGTTATTTTGAAATATTCCAAGAACGTAGATATGCAGATTTACATGCCTCTAGGACCCTCCTCTTGTTCATCTAACGTTCAACCAGAAAGAGAACAGACATAGTTGCTGGTTTGATCCTGCCTATCCATTCTGGGTTGTCCCTCCTGCTGAGGGGGTGCATTTTGTGGAAAGGATGGGAAGGGCTGCAGCCTCCAGTGCATGTGTTTCTCATCATGCCATGCAGTCGTGGGGCAGAGCACAGTCCTGTGCCCTTCCCTCTCAAGTGCAACTGCATCTGCTCCCTTTGGCAGGGGCTTTACACTGAAAAGCCAGACTAGAAAAGTCATGATTGTCAAGCAGTGAAATCAATGTGGTGCCCAAGAGAGAGGAATAATTAGACCTATTGCATTTATTGAAAAATATGTTTTAAAAAAAAATCTGGATTTGCATTGCTAAAGTTCTCAAGAACACAGTGCAAGCAGAGAAGAAGGAAAACAATTAGGTGCCAATAGTCCAGCTGCTGGGTGATTGCATATGCATTTACATAGCATTATGCCTCAGACCTTGCTAGGCCAACGCTACAGACATTTCATGACAGTTTCATTTGCTGGAGTAACTAAGGATTTGCTAATTATTTAGGATTCTGGCAGCTGGAACAAGCTGTTGTGCCTCTTATCAGACACCAATAAACAACGGTCACTTTGTGCTCCATAGCAGAAGTAAAATGTTATCTGACCAAGTCTCCTCTTGACTGCGTACTATATTAAAAAAATGTTTCAAAATAACAGGTCTCCACAAGACTTCAAGCTCTAGAAAAATATGGATCAAAATATTGGTTCTAGCTTGTATAGCCTTCTTTTAAACACTGCCATTATCTTTCAGAATTATGCTGTTATTGCTCAAATAATACTCTCCACTCTTAGAAGGCTGTAAGAAGTTTCCTTCCATTAGGAGTCTCTTCTGTACAAGAAGAGGGTATTAACAGGTCTCCTGCTTCAGCATACAGGAAAGAAGGAATTACTGCTGGATGTGCTTTAGGTGTTAAGGCTAAAGGCAAAGTCTAGGTAACAGTCATTAAAGAAAATGAAAACAAGAAACAAATGGTCAGATGAAAAAAGTCAAATCCTCCTCTGGGGGTATGTGTTTTTCTCTCTCCATAGCACAGGAAGTCCGAAGAATCTTGGATCCTAACCCAGGCACCTCAGCAAGATGAGATGGACTGTAATTCCTCTAGGGCAGATCTTCTATCCTGGCACCTCCATGTCTTCAGTTTGTAATCCCACCAAGTGACTCAAGCAGAGGCCTGAGCACAAAGGAAGGAACATTCCACAGCCTCATGAAACAGGTTAGCTCTTTGAGAGGAACAAACAGCAAATCTATCAGGACTCAAATCAGTTTTAGTCTTGGTGTGTGAACAAACAAGAAAGCATTCAGTAAGGGCAGCATTTTACAAAAGCACAAAATCCTTCCGAATCAAAGGCAAAGGCTCAGAGCTAGTTGTTTATGACAGTGGACTTCCCTCTGGAAGAGTGATTATAAACAGTCTTAAGGCAGCAAATCACAGCTTACAAATTCAAAAGCAACTCATTCAAGGAAAAAAAATGCCTTTCCATAAGTGCTCGTGCACTTTATGAGTAAGATCAGCGAGGCTATGTGTCCAAATAGCCATTGTTCCTCCTGTGGCTTATTATTCCGGACTCACATTCTGTGAGAGCACTGGCATTCAGCAGGCAGCCATACCAGCTGGACTCACCCTACCTCGTG